TGGACTAACTACATGCCCAAGAACCAACCAAGCACTCGCACATTCAAATCTTATCCCAAATTACACTGTTAAAGCTCTGATAGAAAATTGGTGTGAGGTAAACAAAGTGAGGCTTGACCGGAACCCTGAGTCCACTCAGGATGGAATCACATCTAATTCTGTACACCTTACTAATATGGACAATGTGCGAGGTTCCTCAGATCCCAGCAATTCAACATCAAGACTTTGTCATCAAGGTGGACAAGCTTTTGAAAGTCAGAAGGTTGATTGCACATCCGAATTAAGTGAAGAAGAATTTAGTGCATGCCGTATCAGGGAGGCTGAAAAATCTGGCCACACATCCCCAGGGATTTCCTATATACACAGCAGGAGTGAATCCGTATCAAGTGCTGTTTCCAGTATTGAATATCTTCCCTCAGCGTCAACTGATGTCTCAAGGATATCAAGCAAACATGATAATGTGAGTGATACATCTGGAGAGGTACAATGTGATTACCGCATTTCTTCTCCGTGCAACAAGAGTGTTGGGAATTCTCCTAATTTGTCTGCAAGGCAATATCACAGCTCCAAAACAATGAGTGAAATGGCTGTGAACGGACTTCACAACCATGCTAGACGACTTTCCTTACCAACAAAGTCAGCATCTGATGATCTGACCACGAGTTCCCATGTTGAAAAGCTTATTAGAGACTTGGAAAGTCAATCAACAGAGGTGCAAATGGCAGCTGCAGCAGAATTCCGATTTCTTGCAAAGCACAACATGGAAAACCGAGCTATTATAGGCCGCTGTGGGGCTATTGCTCCACTTATCTCCTTGCTAAACTCTGATGTGAAACCAACTCAAGAGCATGCTGTGACAGCATTACTAAACTTATCAATAAATGAAGACATCAAGGCCATGATTGCGGAGCAAGGGGCGCTTGAACCCCTCATCCATGTCCTGAGAACAGGAAATGCTGGAGCAAAAGAGAATGCTGCTGCAGCCCTTTTCAGTCTGTCTCTTTTGGAAGAGTACAGAAAAAAGATTGGGCGTTCTGAGGCAGTGAAAGCGTTGGTCGATCTTCTTGGTTTAGGTACCATCAGAGGGAAAAAAGACGCTGCTACAGCATTATTTAACCTGTCAATATTTCATGAAAATAAGGCTCGCATCATTCAGGTTGGAGCTGTGAAGCATCTCATTAGGTTGTTGGACCCTTCAAATGAATTGGTTGACAAGGCTGTTGCTCTTCTTGCAAATTTGTCTACCATTTCAGAGGGCTGCTTAGCTATTGCCCGAGAGGAGGGTATACCATCACTAGTCGAGATTGTTGAAACCGGATCTCAGCGGGGAAAGGAAAATGCTGCCTCAATACTGCTGCAGCTGTGTCTCAACAGTCCCAAGTACTGTCGATTAGTGTTGCAAGAAGGTGCTGTCCCACCACTTGTTGCATTGTCTCAGTCGGGCTCCCCAAGAGCAAAGGAGAAGGTATGTAGCTTTGTCTTCTTTAAAAAGTTCCCATTTTGCATTATCCACTTCAATCTTTCTGTTCTTCCTAGATGTCATCTTCTTACTAAACGAAGTGCCTGAGAAATTAAAGGGCCGGTCTATCATTTAAATGAAAGACTATTCGTTAAAATAAACTCTACTTTCTTCATCTGGATCCAATAACTAGACAGACAGTTATATAAGAAAAGATTCTACTCAGTCTTAAGAGGGTTTATACAATTTTGGTGTGCATCACATTGCCCTCCCGACAAATTTCAAGCTGGTTATAGTACACTCAATAAACCCCACCATGATGCGTGTGGGTAACGGGAAGCCATAACAAATTTTTCTCCCTTTCTTATCCTTGATTTAAAGTTAATTTTCCTAGCTTCAGGATGATAAATTTTGTATTTTCTCTTTATAACGGAGCAGGCACAACAACTTCTCAGTCATTTCCGGAGCCAACGTGAAGCAGCCACGGGGAGGGGAAAGTCATGATGTCTAGGTTTTGGCTCATTGAATCAAGTTACTTTGCCATTGGATACAATATTCAGAGTGTCGGTCGTCGTTCTTTCCAGTAGCAATATTGTTTTTTTGAAAAATCATCTGTAGTTTCCTCATTCTTGTTTGTTTTACCATTAGGAAGTTGTTTGCTACTGGTTAGGACTGTGATATGTAAATGGTAGTAGATTCTTGTGTTATAGCTTTCAGGATTGGCAACAAATGCTAATAAGGTTTTGTCCCTATATATGGTTGTTTTTCTTCTCAAGAAGGCCATTTGTTAGCTAATAGATATTGTATATGTGACAAGTTGTTGTGAATACTCATGTTAGAGTAACTACACTCCATCTATCTAGTATCTTCTTACCCTATGTTCTTGAAATTGAAAAAATAGGTGGTTGAAATTGCTATGTGAATTCATGTTTTTCATTCTTTGATGCTTAGAAATTGATTGAGTGATATTTGTGCTTGCCATCACGGATTTAAATAACTATTGGGTGAAATAAAGTGAACACTTCAAAATTCGAGTTTTTAGAAGCTTGAAAGCTTAGGGATGAATTTTGTGAATTGTTGAAACTTTTGGTGAATTAATGATTGAGTTTTGTTAAGGGATGTCATTTCGAGTTGCATACCATATATTGAAGAAAATCCACCTAGATACATATATTTTTGCTATTAGATACACAAAAATAGAAAGAGAGCCGAGCGAGATTCGTATGTATTTCAGATATATGTATATGCATGTATCTTGTGTGATTTGCATGTATTTGAAATACAAGATATATGAGAGTGGTGAGCAAGATGGGAGAGAGACAAGTGAAATTTGCTATGTATTCAAGATACACGAGAATCTATTTGGATACAATGTATCTAGAACAAATTACACCTAATTTTGACCTCATGTATTCGAGATATATCTGAACGAATCTTGAGGTACCAAAACCTGTTAAAATACGTAATATTGCAAATTAGAGTATATCTAAGTAATTAGATCCTAAACTAGTGAGACTTGTATAAATTGCATGCTTGCGTAGGTGAATTGTGTTGTGGTGGGCTTATAACACTCTTGCAAGAAATTCTTGAATCTATATTATAAGTAATAATAATCAAAATCAACTTAAAATTTTTGAAATTTGTGGTTTTAAGGCTCAAAGTCCCTAGTTTATGAAGGTAAGGCTTAAAGTCCCCTTCATTTTTATTTTTCTTCTTTTATAAATACGCATGGTAGGGGTCATGCTAAACCCCTTTCCATCCTAATTTATATGATGTAATTCGATTTAGCATGGAATTTAAGATAAATTATTTCATTAAGAATAAAAAGATAAATTGTTTTTAAAATTTAGAAATGTGTTTTTTTTTTTTATACATTGATTAATTAAAAAAAAAATCATATAAATTACTAGAACAGAAGGAATAGTATATATTTACAAATATCGAAATCTTATATAGTACTTAAAACAGTACAAATGTTTGGAAGTAATAAAGAAAATAATTTAACAACTTACAGTCATGACTTTCTTGAGAATCTTTATTGGGCCAGATTATTGTAATTTGTAGCGTAACACTTAAAATGGGTATTGCCCATTCTTTCAGATTTTACAGTGGAGAGGTACTATATAAACACCTCTACATGTATTTAAATAATGCCTTTTAATGTATATTGGCAAATCAAGTTTCTTATTGGAGGCACATGACGGAGATATTCAGTCATTATTACCTTTTCTTCTTGAGGTGTCTGAATGAAATTCTTGATATGAAGCGTTTTATTTTTATAATGATTTACCTGGTGTGAATTCAAATTAATTAAATGTTTAGACGATTCTTGAAGCTATAGACCTCAACACTTCAAAACTTGATGATTTGTTACTACGCTGAGTAGAGTTTTTTTCCCTTAGGCTATACATTTGCCACATGGTGTGCATCTTAACTTGCACTAGCGCCACATTTGGTGCTATGGAGGGACTTCACTACCTTGCCATCTTGGGTAAAAATAATTTTTAAAAGTCGGTCAGATCCTCTAAGGATGCACTTATACTATTCTTCTAAATGTGTAAACACCTCTCAATGACTTATAGTGATTTGGGTGTATATACATCTTAAAATCTCGTTAATTACTGATTAAACACAAAAATCAATATATATTATCACTACGACTCTAGAATTTAGTCGTACTTAGATAACTTTTTTTTCAATAAAAGTACATAAAGAAGTTAGAAAAAAACAAAAAAAGATTTAGTCATGAAGTAATGAATTAAGGGGGTGTTGGAGAGTCAGAACTGTGCATGGAGCTGTCATTCAAGCAGAGAGTGGGTGAATATATATTGCTTCCCTTTTTATATGGCCCCCATGTTTTCTAACTTTTTCACTGTCTCTATCTATCAATCACCCTACTCCACATTTGATTATTTTCCTCAAAAAAAAAACCCTTTTTCTCTCTCCTCTTTCATCCAAAACAACCACAATGAAAAATTGCATCAATTAAGGGAGGAGTTAGTACTTTGCTTCCCCTCTTTTGAGAAAAAAACCAATCTTTCATCATTTTCAGAATTCAAAGCTACCAAATCAACTAACATGACAGTCTTTCTACTATTGCTCAAACAAAGAAACTCAAACATGACCATACATATCAAAAAAAATAATTTTTAGCAGTAATTAATTAATAACGATAATTGTTTAATTGTTAGCATATTTCTAACGGCGTTTATAAATGTCCATTAAATTATAGTATCCAATGATTATTAACTAATGTTATTAAGATTTTAACACTCTTTGTTATATATATATATTATCGTTAAAAGTTATTTTTATCGTAGCGAAAAAAAGAGAGAGAAAAAGGAATCCTTTCATTCACTCTCCCATCAATCCTTTCATCAAAGTCTTCCTCTTTTTGCCTCTCCAATTTTCTTTCTTTCTCTAGTCTCTATCTTGCATCTTACAAATATGGAAATCTTTTGATATTTCAATCAACAATCCATACCCTTCTTTTCCTTCTCTTATTATTAAACCCTAAAAAAACCTCAAAAATAATAATTTAATGGATTCCTTTGCAGAAGTAGAGAGTTCCAACACCACCAACAACAATAATAATAATAATATTATGTCATCATCATCATCATCTACATCAAGTCGATATGAGAATCAGAAACGTCGTGATTGGAACACTTTCGGTCAGTACCTTAAGAACCATAGACCACCACTCTCTCTCTCCCGTTGTAGCGGAGCTCACGTCCTTGAATTCCTCCGTTACCTCGATCAATTTGGCAAAACTAAAATCCACACACCGATATGTCCATTTTACGGTCTTCCAAATCCTCCAGCACCTTGTCCATGTCCACTTCGTCAAGCTTGGGGTAGCCTTGATGCACTTATTGGTCGTCTTAGAGCTGCTTATGAAGAAAATGGAGGAAAATCTGAAATGAATCCTTTTGGTACTCGTGCTGTTAGGCTTTACCTTCGTGAAGTTCGTGATTTGCAGTCCAAAGCAAGAGGTGTTAGTTATGAAAAGAAGAAAAGGAAACGACCACCATCGTTACAATTTTCTACTGTTACTCCGCCATCGGGATCAGGAGGTAATAATAGAAGCAACATTACTCATGGAGTTTAGTTTAAAATTTCATGATTTAGCAGTTATTAGTACTAGTAATTATTTTGAGGACATTACCTAGGGTTTGTTTATTATTAGTAATAATAATTGCGTACCGTACGTCAATTTCATAGATTTGTGATGTACGGTTTTAGCGTATGATAATTTATTAGTAAGAGTTTATTGGAAGTACTAACAAGAGAATGTATACTTCTTGTACTCATGAAATTACTTGTAGTAGTAATTTTTGAAGTCAGATTCAATCTCAACACCTCTGTTTGTTCTGATATCATGTAAGATTTTATGAGTATGATAAAACTTGGTTATATTTCACGGATGAGTTCTTTCTTAATATATACCGATCATGTTATACAAAATTGAATATAAATTCTCCAAAAAGTAATTACACTATAACCATGATTTAATAGAATGCAACTACTACAGTTACTGTTGTCTATAATGCTGTCTTAACAAGGACAATACTTTGGAACATATTTAGCATTATTATTATTATATGGTAACATACTTTGATGCTCTCTTTTTATGTTATCAATTATCATATCGTCATTATAACTTCATTTTCATGTTTTTTTGGGTTGTTTTTGATCTCTCAGTGTGACTTCACATTTCTTTTTGGGCTCGTTTGATAGAAGGGATAAGGGACAATTTATTTTAATATTCTAGTGTTATTATATTGAAAGTAGAATAACAATTCTGAAATAACTAATCACAGAATAGTTAATCCTGAAATAACATGTATCCAACCAAATAAGCCCTTAATGCTACTAGTATTACAGTTTTGTCAAATCCCTGCTGATCGTTTCCCATAATTATGACTTCCTTTATTTCAATTTGTTTATTCTATTTTGACTTTAAACGAGATTTAAAATAATGAAGAAGAATTTTGAATCTTGTGGTCATAAACTAAAGATATATCAAATGCACGAAAATGTCTTTTAATTTTGTGAATCTTTAACATGTCACGAAGAAAATTAGAATAAAGAGTTATGTAACCTATTACAAATCAAATTATAAGTTAGAGTTGCTATTCGGTCTTTTCCTCAAAGGTGGATACGATTGAATTAGCTTTGGACTACGAGAGAGCTAGACAGCGAGTACTCCTTTTCTTTATTTTGCTTTTTAGCCTCCAACTTTTGCAACTTTATTTGGTATTTAAATGTTGATTTAACAAGTATTTCTTCCTTGATCTAGAGTTCTAATAGATAGACTGACTGAGCTCAAGCAATAATGAAAGCTCATAATTAATGTTTTTAGTGGCAAATTATACGTCTATTATTTTATATTGCCATTAAATTTCTTAATGGTGAATTATATAAGCATCTATTAATTGGTGCTAGTGCTGTCACTTCACTGAGGAGTTTGATGAAATTGGCAGACAAGGGTGATTCCTTATGTCTTCTAATAGCTATTGGATAGCTGATTTATCCGAAGAGTTTAAATTATGTACGCTAACAATATAAAAAATGGAAAATTATAGGAAACGATAGGCAATCGACTAAAATACATTGGTAATATAAAAACTTATTATATTATTAGTATATATAACTTAAATCACTACGATTGATGACTAAAATATATATATTTGACAAACTTTTTATACTTGTCAAAGTTATTTAGTAGGGTATGAAACTAGCACTTTAACCTATAAAGAAAATATTCCACTTCCCACCACTAATATGTTTTCAGATTATCCTAGGATGATTTATTAGGAGTGGTAGAGTATCAGTGAAAAGGGGACTCATTCAATATAACAAAAGTATTTTTTAGCAGCAATAAATATACATATTAACAAAGAGTATAAAAGTATTTACGGGCATTAATTAAATATCTGGATCAAATGTCGCTATGCATTTTTAGGGACATTTGCGATCAGTGTTAATTATGCCACTAAAAATATATATTTAATAACAATTAAGCTACTGTCATTAATTAATTGCCGCTAAAAATTATTTATGATTTAGTAATTATACAATAATGGATCTTGAACAAAATTGACGAATTGATCTTTGCAGAAAAACATTAAGTTGATTAAAGGATTGGATAATTTTGTCGTGAGAATATATCTGTCGACAGTTTTTCTACTAAAGATGTTGAAAGCAGCGGATTTGACTAAAGTTCATTACTTACCTTAAGATAGCGTGGTTAGTTGAATATCTTTTATTAAAAAAATAGGAAAAATTGTATGAAACAATAAATTATTAATTCAAAATAAATGTTATAATCACGGTTTCATTTAATTCTAATTTATAGCAAATACTTTGTCATTCAAAGAATCTCGCTAGCCTCTCTCACTTTATACAAACGCACATGTATAAATTGTGTGTGTTTGTATATAGCGAGTGAGAACTCTATATACAAATACAAACACATATTTATTCGTCCTATACACTTATAATTAAACAAATACAAATCTTTCCCTGCTCAGTTCTCTTTTGCTTTTCTCTCTTTCTCACTTTATACATACATAAATTATACAAAATACAATGTATAATTTGTGTTTGTATAAAGCAAGAGAGATTTGATATACAAATACAATTGTTTTAACTCGATTCAATTATATATAAATTCAAATTTTATGCAGATATACAAACACAAAGAACATATACATAGACAAACACAATTTTCATAGACACATACACCCGAAATATACAAATCGCGCAATTTATACAAATTGCTGCGATTTATACAAATTGCTGCGATTTATACAAATTAGATGCTTCTGATTTTATACAAATCTCATGTTGCTTGCGATTTTGCACAAATCTGATGCTATGTATAGACCGCAAATAACAAAACTGTAGATATAGAACATTAATATGATTCTTATGTTTGCTAAACCTAAAATTTAGAAAATTATATGGAGTATACAAATTACAAGTTACTTTTCGTATGCATATGTTAATTCTAGAATATCCTTGATGAAATTTCTTGCTACACCTCTGCTCCATTAGTCAGTATTCCTAAATATAATTCCTTACCTTTGCTCTTAACTCTAAAGATATGTTGTCTGAATGTATATTCCATCAATTCAGATCACTTTTCGCAAATGACATCTTTTAATTCTGTTATTTTTTACTTTCATCTCCTAAACTTCAAAGATGAACTATTTTTTAATTTTTTGAATAATTATTATGGCTACCCATGGAAAATTTGTTGGATTGGTTTAGGAACCTGAAGTTGTTGGGCTTAGGTCAATCAATCTTACGAGATCTTAAATAGTCTTTCCATGTCTATGCCATTTGGAGTGTGCGTTTAGTGTTGTTATGTTAGCTGGTGTAAATGATTAAACGGATATAATGTCTTCACATCAACAAAAAAAAAGAAAAAATAAATAAATTAAAATTCAGAGTTATGTCTCAACGCCCTCGCCCCGAAACAAAGCTGAAAAGAAAAGGAAGCCACATGCAACATGTAGATATACTTTTGGTCAGTTTTAGTTCAACAAAATCCGCACCTTATAAGTAAGTTCATAGGCTCCAAATTAAAGCTGTTAAACTTTTTGTTTTTCACCTTTTTCATGCATACTGAGTCCACAATATCGGCTATTGTCGTCGCAGGAATATTGCATCATGACATGTTTGAGATTATATATTTTTAAATTTTATATCAAATTAAATATCGTTTCGTAAATTAATAAATACAGTGGGAGCAAATGAATCAAATTAAACGTGGCAAAGGTTGTGTTTGTCTGTGATATATTCATGTATCTTTGTGTGGTCTCTATCAACTTGAACTATTTTTGTCGGCAAATAAATCCAACCAAATCCTGCAAATTGATGACATATTCTTCAAATTTTTCATATCGTTTTTTTTTTTCTTTTCTTTTGAACGCCACTTAAGAAAAGATTAATTAAATGATAGTCTGACTAGTCTCAGGTTCAAAACTCAGAGGAGACAAAAAATATTAGATGATTCTTTTTTTATGTCCTAATATTAGTGGACAGAGTTACCTAGTACATGTTGTTGGTGGGAGGTGGCAGGTATCCCGTAAAATTAGTCGAGGACTAGTCTCAGGTTCAAAACTAAGCGGATACAAAAACACATTAGATGATTCTTCTCATTTGTCCTAACCATGCTAGACAAAGTTACGTGTTGTTGGTAGGAGGTGAAAGGTATCCTGTGAAATTAGTCGGGAGGCTTAGTTGGGGTGCTTGAAAGTTGGCCCGGACCCATAATCATAAAAAAGACATTAATTAAAAGATAGTTTGACTAAGTCTCAGGTTCAAAACTAAGCAGATACAAAAAAACATTAGATGATTGATCTTCTCATTTGTCCTAACCATGATAGACAGAGTTACGTATAGTACCTATTGCTGGTGTGGCTGGTGATAGATATCCCGCGAAATTAGTTGAGATACGTGAAAATTAACTCGAACACCATGATATAAAAAAAAAATAGTCTGACTAAATTATTCTAATGTAAGAATATGTAGATAGTAGAATATGTAGGTTTAATTAGACTATAAATCTATATAGACAATTAAGGATTTTCATGAATTTACTTGTCAGTCAGCAAATCTTGAAGTAGTAGTCTGTAACTTAGTAGTCATGATTCATGAATATATAATATCCTTCAAAGGAACATCCTTAAACTCATCCTGTTCATATTTGGTTTAAAAAAACTATAGGTCAAATTAAAACAGGCTCTCATGTTTCCATTGAAATGATGAATGATAGCCTACTAGCAGTAGGCTCCACTATGCTTATACAGTGCCAATTAGGACATGCTACGCTTTTAGGCTTTCCTAGGTACTTTGATTTATTTTTACAATGGAGATATTAGACTATATATTATATTAAGCAAAAATGTAAAGTTTATACGTACTTTTTAGGCACGAACCCAAAGTTTACACTGAAGTCACATGTTTTCTTGACTAGCTAGTAACTAACCATTTCACTTTTCGTTTTTCCTTTAATTGAAGTAGGTTTGATATCTACTACTCCCTCTATCTTAATTTATATGACATTTTTTATGTTTTGAGAGTCAAACAGTTTAAGTT